TCATGCAGCGTGTGGTAGAGGTTCCCCAGCTGAAAAGTATTTGTTAGCCTCAGCTAAAACAATTACTGCAAAGTGTACCAGGGAAAGAGAGTTGATGAAGTATAATCATTCACTAATTAAAACACTTAATCTTTGTAGAACGAATGACGTTTTGACAAAGAAAACCTAACGAACAGGACATCAATCTGCAGTGCAACACTTAGAAGATAACATAATATTAGTACTAACAGCACTATGATACCTAAGAGCTAATTGTAACCAACTTCAATCTTGCCTTTAGAATTATTATCCATTAAACATTGCATTTCATCACTCAAATGAACCAGAACTGTCCCGTTGACGCTGAAAGATTAATGTTATGTTTCCTGACAACCTTATTCTTACTTTTTGTTTGGATCTTACTCACAATGTGGCTACATTCAGAGGAGAAATCCAGCACATTTTCTGTTTATTGTAACGTGGATGCGAGTCAGATATTCGCAGCAGTGACCCCGAGGGACCTTCGGTGGTAGAAGAACAACACAGCTGGCTCAGTAATTCTCCTCTGTTATTTATTTCCCAAACATCAGCCCGTTCCTTTCGAGGCACGGGAAGTCTCCGGACTGCTATGGCACCTGTTCAGACTTCTGTGCATCGTGAACACAAACATACTCTTGTTTTCCATTTCTGTGTGATTTTATGACTCGCAACAGGAAAAAAAACAACATAAAAACTTGCATCATTTCAGTCTCACAAGCTCTATATGTTATCCCTTTGGTTTGCTCCCGGAGCAGATGGTAGCAGCAGAATGTAGGTCTCCGTTTGGTCTCTGTGAAGGTGATGAAGTCTGGAATCAGTTCATCTGGAGAAGAAGCCAGCCTTTTCAGGTATACAGCCTGCACGTCATGAATAAAAGCTAGTAGACTTCCCTGGGAAGATCACATAGCTGCAGAAATGTCAAGCTGCTGTGTGTACTCCTTAACATTTTTCCGTGTTTACAGAACTCCCCGATCTGCTGCACACAACTTGATTTAAAATTCTCTTATATTGGAGACATTATTCATGATCATGCGGAATGGGAGACCCTGCACTGCATCTCAGGATTATGCTAGAAACTGGGGACATTGTTTAATGTATTAAGCATTAAAGGTGGGTTAGAAATGAGACATCTTATCATACATGCTGTCAGTGAAGCCGTTTTTCTATCTGTTCTTCAACATAAACACAGAGGAGAGCAGGAAACAGTTTATGAAAGAGAGCATTTTGGTGTGATACTTATATTAATATTTATGCAACTGCTCCACAAGGACTACACATTTTAAAAGAAAACACCCAGTTTTGAACAAACCCGTCTACCGAGGAGTTTTCCTTTGAGAAAACACTTCAAAAACAAAGTGCTGCCAATCTCTGCCAGCTGAAACGTGAAAATGAAGTGAAGTAAATTAGCCGTTATTGTCGGGGACCGTAATAAAGGAAAACGTTCCTCTGGGACCGCAGATGGGTGCGGATACACTACAGATGCAGCATAATTAATTGTACACAGTGTTGTGAGACATCGAAGCTGGCATCCACAGTATATAAAAGGACTAAAAGTTTTGTGATATAATCTTGTTATCTAGTTGTTGTTGTTGTTGTTGTTATTTGCCAGTGGAATTTTGATACAGTATGAGTGAAGGTCATGTTATAAACGTTTAGTCAAAGGAACAGTTTGACGGTGGAGTTACCGACTCAGAATGACGCACTCGGTCCAGACTGGTGCAACACTAAACCTATCTTTGACCGTAGCGATCATTGCTGTTCATTTCACCACAAGGTGTTCACTGCAGACGCTCTGCTGTCACTCTTAAGGGAGCTGCAATAACCTTAATTTACAGTTTGCCTCTTAACTTCTCAGAATACTTCATGTTAAACACCGAGTACACTGTAGTCTACTAACACGCATTGAAATGTGTACAATGCACCTAAACTAAATGACAGCTGTAAACATATTTCCACTCCTGTATGAGTAAAACAATCCTCTTATTTAGACTTTACTGATTGCAAAATCTTGTATTATCCCTTTAACTGCAGTAGAATGCATAGAAATAACCCCACAGGAGCTGCTGGGGTTGTTTTACGTTGAGTAAACATTTTACCAGGCTCTAACTGACCATTTATGATGCCATTATCACTTTTAATAGTCTTTCAATTGCTTATGCTAATTGCTAATACAAATTACATTATGCTAATCACCAATGCTTCTATAAGCCCTATTATGAAATACACTTAATAGTTTCTGTCATTGGCTCAAAATATCACAATAAAACTGCAGAAGGTCTCTACATTTTAGAGCAAACATAATTGACAGTGGCAATTCTGGGACAGTGGGGGCCAATGTCCCTGTAATATTAAGCCTGGACCCCCCTCTGTCCGCCCCTTTAACTGCAGCAAATATTTTCCGGCATTTTTAACCAGAGAGAGGAAATTGTAATTATTTATACGGGGTGGTGAAATGTATGTCTTAAATGTTGCGCCTTCTTTAGTGTTAGCGACCACTCAAAGCTCTTTACAACATAAATCAGCATTCACCCATTCACACACACGTTCATACACAGAGGTGTCTGGTGGCACCTGTTCCTCAGGAGCAATAACTATTCACAGTTTGTCCAGCCATCTTTCAGTTTGTCCAGACCCTCTGTTCAAGTGTTGAACAGAGGGTCAGACTGACTGACTTTGTCAACCTTGAGCGAGTGAAAGTCTTTACTTTCTGCACGGACTGTCGCACAGACGTGAGCCCACCTGGAATCGTGGCAAGGAAATATTTGGATCTTTTTTTTTTTTTTTCGTGGACATTTTTCCTTGCGGGAAACCGACATTCTCAAAGCTCCTCAAAGGTCTTCGTATGTTCTCCGCCCATCCGTGTCCGCGTAGTTAGAGAAGGTTGGATGTGCACCGACAGGCGAAAAAACCTGCTGCACAGAACCTCCACAAAGGTGTACTGTCTCGTGGTGTGACGGCACTTTTGCAGGTGCGGACATAAATCAGCCTCCACCGAGGCTTCAGGCTTCATCTTTTAATGTGTTGATTATATCGTCTGCACTGAGGTTCTGTCTCGACCCTTCACACATACAAAGCAAGCAGGGAAAGAAATTTTAAAAAAGAACAATTTGCTGAGCTGACAAAAAGTCAAATGAGTGTAATCAAGTTAATGTGAAAAAGTGTCACACTAAATTTTAAATTATAATTTTCCAACATGAGCTTTGTAATGACTTTCTGTTTCAACATGGCCGATCATATATCATTAAACATATGCACTTTAATAATTCACCTGGTGCCTCTCCTGTCCTTGTGCTGCTCATTTATTTCCCCAACAACTCACAAAAGAATTCCACTGAAGTATTCTTCAATTCAATTTGTCAGAACGGATTTCTGAAATGAGGCTTTGTCTCATTGCCACAAAGCTTTTATCATGTCATGACAGAGCTGATTATTTGAAGATCACTTTAGTTGCCAGAACATCAGTTTAATTACTCTGTTATTCTATTTCACAATTTGTCTGTTTTTCTTTCACCACCTTTCCCATCCCCTCTCCTCTAAATGTATTGCTTCAAAGCTTTCATAATATCATTACAGCCAATATTTAATCCTGATCCATGAAACATTTTCAATTCATACACAGTGTAATATTTGCTCCTGATAACAGATTTCAGTTTTTTTGTCAATTGTGTGCTCCTTACCTCCATTTCAACTTTAAACTATCCATTTTTTCCTCCTTCTAATATTTGGGTGTTATTTTTTTGTGTAAATCAACCCACTCTGACATGAATTGAAACCTTCAGGGAGCCTTCTAATGTGTAGGTTTGGATAAAAGAATCACCCTTTTATCCTTGTGACCACAAATTTCACATTTCACCTTCCTGGGGATTAATCAGATGCAATACACGGTTTGCCGGGCATCCTGTGGTCCGTCACGGTTCCTTCGGACTCTTCTGTTGAACGCCTCAGCATTTTCAGTTCTGTTGGTTTGACTGTGTTGGAGACTTATGTTGTGTCCTGGCGGCGTTCTGTTTTAGGGCTAAACACTCAGCGATACACTGAGTGAACTGTTTTTGTACTTCAGTGTCCTGTGCGTGCTCTGTGTGTTCCTGTAGAACGTCTTCCCTTGCACACCTGTTTAGTGTCCAGTCTTTTCAGCCCTGCCTTTTTGTCCTGCCAGTTCTCGTTGTCTCGTCACCCAATCCCGGTGTCTCCCTTCCTGTTCTAGCTCCCTTCCCTCTCCAGCTGTGCCCCATCTCGTGATTAGCTCCTTGTGTATTTATACTTGTCTCGCCTTTCAGTTCTTTGTCAGTTCTTTGTGACCAGTTCAAGTGTTGAATGTGTTCTGATTTTCTTTGTTTCCCAGTGTTTCTACATTGTATTCCTGGTTGGAAATTAGATAATGATTTAGTTCCTGCCTGTTGCGGTCTCTGCATGTGTTCAAATGTGACATGGTCACAATAACCCCCCAAAATCCCCTGACTACACATCTACCATAACAAATGATTATTAAGAGAACTGTATCATAATCCATATCGAATGTAAAAGTTTAAGTTGTTTTTTTCCAGGATGCAAATCACATTTTTTAACACATTTTAACATTCCCTGTCACTGATGCTAAAATATAATCTAATACCACAAATATAACAGAACACGGGTTCTATATTGGAGTATAATTAACTATATTCATCGTAAGTTGAGGTTCTGATCACGTGATTGTGTCTCACTTGGCCGTCTGTGTGTTGAACCCATATTGTCCTAACTTAAGAGTTTGCAAATAGAAATATCACGTAATATCACGTAATATCACTCATGTTAAGTCGGTATTAAACTCTCAGACATGTTTGTTTTACCATCACCTTGACGACAGTCAAGTCTTTATTGATCATTGTTAGTGGTTCCATTGGAGACACCAGACAACAGCAACAAAACAGAGAGGCATAGAAACACTAAAGGTACCAAGAAAACATCCAGAATCAATGAAATAAATATGAAAAACAGCTCACAAAGATTGTCAGTGAAGTTCAGTGAAGGGGGGGTGAAAGCTGAAGCCCTTTTACATCAGTGAGTTGAGTACGTCATTACAAAGAAGATCCAGCTCTGGCATGAGTGATGAGTGGCAGAAAACTATCACACACATCATAACGTCTTTACAGCACAAACTCTACCTAGGAATTAATTTTGCAGCGCACAGCTGTTTTTCGTATCTGTCCCAGCTGCTCGTCTACTTTCACACTTTACAGGAGAGTATTGACACATTTGCATAAAGTATCTGACGGCAGAGAGGAAGCTGCATTGCTTTTATCGAAGTTCACAGTAATGTTAGAAAGAATGAACCTACCTAACCCTATTTACCAGGATAAGAATATACATCAAATGTGCCTCGTGTTTCTCCGTTGCAATAATTAAACCACAAGTGGTGCGACATCTGAAGACGTTTCCATGCAATATTTGCGATGGATCCGCGTGAGCCACATTAAAAAACAAATATTGTGAACCTCTGTTATTTCGTCTTCAGCTGTGGAAAGGATCACCATGTCTGAGCGGACCCACGCAGTGAGACATGGGACGAGGGAAGAGTGAGGAGGAAGTCATGCTCACGGGAAAGGAGATAAACAACATTATGACACAGCACTGGGTTCACGTTTGGGTTCTTGGAGGGGGGGTCCGACACCGGATCTGTGTGTGTGTGTGTGTGTGTGTGTGAGTGCCCTGATCATGAGTTTTCCTGTTTTGGAATGACTCGGTTGATTGTAAATCCTACTCTTCCTTTATTGGAAGTGTTTAATGTGCTTCTCCTCTGTGACCACGTCTCAAGGCAAAACTGATGAAAATGATAAAGGTCTAAAAAAGAGCGTGTCACCGTTGCAGCAAAAAAACACAGAGGTGTTCACTCATGCCAGTGTGTTCACACTCTCATACACACACGTACACACACACACACACACACACACACAGACACACACTGGAGAGATGAAAGCCCCACTACGACCACACTTAGTGCACAGTCGAGTGTTCAACCAAGGCTGATATTTGAGCGACCACCGGGGGGAGCTACGATACGTTGGCCAGAGCGACGAGGGATGTAGTCATCCATCTGTGCTCCTGGGAGATGAAGACAAAATTAAAATGTACTTACTTAAAATCTATTTAATTCATAACCTGTTCAGCACACATAGCATGTCCCATAAGCCATATGGATATTTATGCTCCATTTAAGACATTAAAAGCCTCAAAGAGAATCAGTGGATTGGATTTTTAAAACTGATATGAAATATTCCTATTACCTGATAGGCTGAAGTTGGACTGGTGAAGATTGCGTATGGGTGCTGGTTGGTGAGAGGTGGGTGAGGTTTTGGCTGATGGAGAAGGAGTGATGTATTTGGGGGCAGGATCGACATCATACACAGGGCCGTCGTACAAGCCACGGGTAACGCCCTGCTGGCTCTTCACCTGGTTAGAGAACACACAGACACACACACACACACAGCTAAGCTGTTAGTCGTCAATGCAAAATTAAAATTAGAGCATGGCAAGTGACGGTTGTCTGTTTGCTTTTATGATGTCATTTCTTTTTTTCAGTGTCTTTGATCATTTTTTACCTAAGAAATGGTGGTGATTGTTTGTATGATTCAGTTTTCTAGATTGCTAGTTCCTATTTGTCTAATATTTCTTAATGTTAAACAATGAATGCCGATCCTTTAAAAAAAAGGTTGTAGGACAGAAAAAAAACACCAGCGGCAGCAATAAATCCAGGACTTTATCGCTCAATGCCAGACAAAGTCGTATATGTTGTGTTTTTAAAACATATTAGAATGTTGCCAATAAACCAAACCAAATGAAGGGGAGTGCATGACTGTAGTGTTTCCTATTAAACTGACAATTATCAAGCAGTGTTTTTAATACATATTGTAGACTGTAAAAGCAATAGTGCAACTACGAGGAACTGGATGTTGACTGCTTATTTAATCCTTTAATGCAAAAATATTTTCAAAAGAAATGTCTTTTGAAATGATCTGTGTACTGTACCTGGTTCCTGCATTTGACGCGCTGGTAGGCGTAGTCAGGGAAGTGCTTGCGAGGGATAAAGCGACCGGTGCCCTGCTGGGCCTGCAGCTGGCCTTCCTCGTAAACCACGCGACCTTGACTCAACACCAGTGCTGGACCCCCACGGCATTCCAGACCCTCAAAGATGTTGTATTCTGAAGTCTGTGTGGAGAGCGATAACGCATAAAAGGCAGAGAATGAGGGAAAAAAGGGGATTAAGCAGATGAACAAGGGAGAACTCTTTCATCCTCCCTCCCACACCATTCATACTCTGTCTCAGCCCTCTGTGCTAGCACTGTATCAGAAGGCTTAATTCAGGCAGTAAAACTGCAGTAGTTGAGAAGATGGGGGATGAATAAGTGAGAGGCTTGGGGCATAGGAGGAGCGACACAGGGGGATGGGCGGGAGATGGTAGCACAGGATGGGTGAGGGGTGATGGAGGATTATAACCTAAAACCGGCACCCGTCTGGATTAAGGCCTTCCAGAGAGGCAGAGCAGACTGACTACATTAACCACTGTCTAACATCCTCACTGCAGTGCTGTGGCGCATTGCTCAAGGCACATTTTCACCTCTGAGGCCATACTGCTGGGTCTAAATATCTTCAACTTTGAATGCTGGGTTCACTTAAACTGCAAAAATAAAGACAGAACATACTTTGGTTTGTACATCTAGGATTTGATGCCACCCAATGTAAAGAGAGTGACTTGAATGTAGCTCTTTTAGGATTAAAACAATCCCTATAACACTGCTGTCCTCACGTTAAAAGCTTTCACTGTAACTCTTTTCTATAGAATCAATTTCAATGTCAAGGTCAAAAATAAGAGTCAAAAATCATCCAAGTCGATTTTTTTTCTTTGTAATTCGGGCAAACCACCCCATTAAAGATGAATCCTTTATTCAGCTTTCTTTTAACATGCTGTATATCATTAATAAGCCGTGGTTTTTGTATCAAATGTGTTGCATGTATTGTATTATTATGATATACCACACATGCAGTATGGCATCATACCACTCTCAGTAATGCCAGGCTTAAAAGTACATATTAGGTTTGTCTCCAGCTTCAGTGATCTGCCTCTTGGTTTTTATGCAATTTCACACTCTACCGTCTCACATACGAAACCTTTTCTCCAGCCTCCTCAGTTTCATTTCCCTGTTTCTCCATCGTATCATATCCAACAATTCATCCATCCTCTCTTGTTATTTTTCCCGTTGCTCTCACCGACTGCTGGAGTTTGGCCGTGATTGTTTTGGAGCTGTCGGGGTCCCAGATGACGACGTCCGCGTCCGACCCCACCGCTATCCGGCCTTTGCGTGGGTACAGGTTGAAGATTTTTGCAGCGTTAGTAGATGTGACCGCCACAAACTGGTTTTCGTCCATTTTCCCCATGGCCTGCGAGACAGAGAGGCAGATGATCAGGGACAAGCATAACCTTCCGCGGCTGCTTTATACATGCATATATCCTTATTGCTCACCACAGCCTTGTCCCAGACGAAAGCCATCCTCTCCTCCACTCCGTTGGTTCCCTCTGGGATCAGGGTGAAGTCTTCTCTACCGATTGCTTTCTGGGAAGTGCTGTAGGCGCAGTGAGCGCTGCCCACCACCTGCAGGTCCCCGCTGAATCGAGGCAACACAACGATATGAAATAATCCACATACACATCCCACCACATCAGGTGGTCAGCTAAAGACAATACAAGCAAGCGTGATGAACGTAAAGACAGGCATGCCTATTGTTGGCCACCATGTGTCCTCAGAGAGTGTGACTTAAAGTCACGTGGAACCAGTCAGAATGATGCAACCCAGCTGCAGGACCTGTCCCTTTAGCCTTAACTACACAAAGATACACTGCATTATCAAACAGCCATCAACACATTGATATACAAGAGGCTGATTAGCACCTAAGATTAGCATTGTTTCTCATCTGAGGCCTTTCAGTCAGTTGTTAATTATAGCGATTACTTCATGATAGTGAGCTGTAGGCTCATTGCCCCGATACTACGAGAGTGCTTATTACGGAAACAACGGGCAACAACTGTTGAAAACAGCAGCATCCACCAGCCTGGAGTTGCAGACAAAAGGGCGGAGAAGCAGAGAGGAGGAGCAGAGAGGAGGATGAGGAGGCAGGCAGTTGGTAGCCAAGGCAACAGAAGATGAAGGATTTTAGTTCCTGTGCTATTTATGGAATGGAGGACAGTCAGAAGTGTACAGCGGGATGCTCTGTGCAATGTGTGTGAAGTGAGAAGTGAGGTGGGTTTGGTCCTGTGCACTTTGTCTCTCTCTCTAGGATAATTACAACTGAACTTCAAGACTTTTTGCCTCTATGCATTGATACTAGTATGCATGTACTATTATACTGTCTACATAAATGTATGTATAAAGTTAACGGCAGATAAAGTGTCTTTCAAACAATGATGTCATCCTTTGTGCGTCCCTCCCACCACCTTCTTTCTGCCTCTCTTCTCCTCACCTTCTCTCCATCTGTTTCTCTTTTCCTCTGACATTGTGCATTAACTACCAGCTGTTTGTGGCATGAATACCAAACATATATCCAAGGGCAAAACAGCAACAGTTAGATTCCCTGTAGGTGTCTCATTTGGTGTCATCCAGGCTGCGGCTAAATGAAATACTTCTTCTGCCCTCACTCTGTATTAACGGGACAGTTCACCCCAAAATACAAATAGCACAGCATAGCATCAATAGCACTACAGGTCAGAGGAAATATTTGTATTTTTGATTTTGGGCTGAGCCGTTCCTTTAATTAGAAATGATTTCTTTACTTGTCCCAGTGTTGAAACATGAAATATACTGTCGGCTACATACTTTGTCAGGCTTCTCATAGAATTATCATCACAAAGCGCTAAAAACGTAGGCTTTACGCTGTTTTCCCGAAAAGGTTTGAAGACGTACCAAGCCAGCAGTGTGTTGAGGTGGTCTGGGGTTGTGGGGTCGGGACTCAAAGGTGGAGAGGTCACATAAGCAGCCGCTTTGGCCCAGTTCTTGCTCCAGTAGTGGGAGCCGTCAGTGACCAGGCTGGCTGTTATTGGCTCGCCAAAAACAACAGAACCTGTTTGGAGGGGGGGGTAGCGGCACAGTGAAGGTCAGGATGCGAAAAGAAGACATACATGAACACTGGAAGAGTCAGATAGACACTCCTGGAGCGAGTAGATGTGAAGTGGCTGACCTTTCCTGCGGGCCTGGGTGATAGTGTCGGCTGCACTCTTGCTCATCACCTTGGTGATGTACACGGGACAGTTCACACGGTTGCCAAGAGTGATGGCACGGAACACTGCCTCAGCCTCCAGCTGCGTGGACAGGAAGTAAAGAAGGCATTGAAACCTTGGATGGATGGATGGAATGATTGATTGATGGATGGATGGATGGATGGATGGATGGAATGATTGATGGATGGATGGATGGATGGATGGATGGAATGATTGATGGATGGACGGATGGATTGATGGATGGATGGATGGATGGATGGATGGATGGATGGCTGGATGGCTGGACGGATAATGGAGTGTACAGGAATGTGATCACCTCTTCGGGACGACTCAGCGGATGGCCTTCGGGTCCGGTGATTCCCATCTCGAGGATTTTTCTCTGCTCCTGAAAACACAGATGATTATCTTCATGATCAACACAATAACTGCCAGCACTGCACAGAGCACTTGTGAAATCTTCTTTTACCCACAAGACTCCTGTTTTAGTGGCTTTGCCGGCATCTCATGGCTGTAAAATGAAAATCTCGTGGTCTGTCATGCTACCAAAGAAAACAGAGTGTGCGTTGTAAATCCTAGAATGCCAGCGCACCACGTGGGAGCTTTTCGCTGACTGCTTTTGTCGTGCTTCTGACAGCGCTGTCTGGGGAGCAGCAAAACTGGGATGAAAACCAGACACCCACCCACCCTTTATTGTTTTTCTTTTCAAAAAATATTTTTAGTTTCATTGTTTGAGAGGGTTGGTGCTTATTATGAAGGTATATTTGTGTCTTTATTACGCAAACAAAAAAAAATGTTTTAAAAGCAAATTTCTTGCACTGCAATCAAAAATCAAGTTTGTAAGTGAAAATATATAAACTGAGAATAATTTATTTGTTAGTTTTGCTTATGAAACTAGAATTTTTGGTTAAAAAAATAAAACCTTTGGTTAAAAAAAAATAAATCTTTGGTTAAAAAAAAAAAATCTTTGGTTAAAAAAAAAATCTTTGGTTAAAAAAAAATATCTTTGGTTGAAAAAAAAAATATCTTTGGTTGGAAAAAAAAAATCTTTGGTTGAGAAAAGCTGGTTTCAAAACGAAGAGCTGAGCTGAGCTTGGATGTAGTGGGCGGGGCATATGCTGTTGAATGTGCCAGGAGTTTCTATTGGTCGGTTTGACTTTGCTCTCGGTATCTGCATCATCTAAACACTGACGGGAGCATATGCCCCGCCCACTACATCCAAGCTCAGCTCAGCTCTTCGTTTTGAAACCAGCTTTTTTCAACCAAAGATATTTTTTTTTCAACCAAAGATATTTTTTTTTTCAAACAAATATTTTTTTTTTTCAACGAAAGATTTTATTTTTTTAATCAAAGATATTTTTTTTTTAACCAAAGATTTTATTTTTTTTCACCAAAGATTTTATTTTTTTTAACCAAAGGTTTTATTTTTTTAACCAAAAATTCTAGTTTCATAAGCAAAACTAACAAATAAATTATTCTCAGTTTATATATTTTCACTTACAAACTTGATTTTTGATTGCAGTGCAAGAAATTTGCTTTTAAAACATTTTTTTTTGTTTGCGTAATAAAGACACAAATATACCTTCATACTTCTAAAGGTTCCTCATCACCCATCTCCCTATTTCCATTGCGGTTAGGTTAACAAGTATGTCATCATTCATCGGCGCTCCCATTGTCGTTCATTACCCTCATTCATCTCCACGCGCGTCACGGCTCTCGCCTTAATTGTCCCCTTAATCAGGACCATCATCTCCATGACCACGACTCCCACTTTTCATCACCGCCATCAGCGTTATCTACACCTTCGCTCTCGCCGTCTTAATCGCCATTACATCATCATCATTAGTTTAATAACGGTCAACCGCGATGGTGGCCTGTGAAGAACCTGTCATACTCAGCAGTGGCAGCAGGATTAATCCTCCCTCTCTCTCCGTGAGAGCCGGGGAGCTACGTAAGAAGAAAGTCTCTCATCTGACGGTGTTACTCGAGGTACGGTTTCCCAGTTGCAACTCAGGGGCAAAACTAGAGGAGGCTATGTAGCACTCACCTGAGCAATCACGTCTCCGTTTTCAGCGTGAACTAACACCACGGCGCCCAGCTGCTTTAGGAAGGAGAAAGCTTCGTACAGCTGAGGGAGGGATGAGGCCAAACAACAAAGAGGAGGATTAACAGTGAAAGGAAAGAGCAGTGAGTCATGGATTTACATGAGCGCGGCAGTAGTGATTGTGACACATACCTGAGAGTCCGACAGCTGGTACATGTCCTTGTAAGCCATGTACACCTGGAAGGAGTTGATGCCTGACCACAGTGGGGACCATGACAAGCAGGTGACGCAGCAGCAAGGATAAAAACACATGTACACAATGTATCACCACATACAATAAATAGAGACGAGATGAACTTCATTACAACTCTCAAGTTTATTTTTGAGGGGAAATGGGACACACAAGCAGCTGGCTCGGTTCCTGCATTAGTTTGTAGCTGCCCCAAAAGAAAAGTGATTTTTTACTTAAAACAGCTTACAAGCAGAATTTGCACACCACCACCACGACAGCACCGCGGACAACAATGGCTTTCCGCTGTGCTTTCGCTGTAAGAGGATTCAACACTCTGCCAAATTGTTTCTAAATCTGTCCCCGTTGTTCTCGGGAAATGGCTTCGAAACAAGGATGAACGTGGAACCGGAACGAGAACCCCAGCAGAGCCGTGAAACGCCGTAGAGCAACTTGAAAAAAACCTGACGCACCTTTCTCCTGCACCAGCAGCTCCAGCTCATCCTTGACCATCTCGTTCCACTGGGGGATGTCTACGTGCAGCGAGTAGTCGCAACAAGCCTTCTTATCCGCAGCCTCCTGCCAGCACTCAAACGCCTCCAGCAGACTCTGCCCGGGCTCGGGGGTCACGTGGTCAACTGAGAGGCGTGGGATGGGGTCAAAGGTTAGGATGGAAAGAGTTCTACTGATATCATATGGTTTTCAGTATGTACTGCGGCATCCTACACTCACTGATCATGGTGGTGCCCCCGGCGAGCGCAGCCTTGGTGCCCTGGAGGAAATCTTCGGCAGGCCGTGTGCCCAGGTAGGACTTCATCAGACGGGTGTTGACATCTATCCCCCCCGGTATCACCATGCGGCCGTTAGCCTCGATCACCTTGATGCCCCCCGGCACGACCAGATTCTCCCCCACCTGCCTGCCAAGGATCAGATATGGGGACACAAAGGGATGGGGGAAAGGGAGGCGAAATGCAGGAACAGGAAGGAAGAAGTGCAGTGGTTAAAGTGTGGTGGAAGAGGAGGAGGGAATAAGGAAGGGAAATCATTATCGACTGTAAAAGTATATCAAATATTTGACATCATCGGCTCCTTCTGTACGCACTTGATGAGCCCGTTCTCAATGTAGACATCTGCATACAGAGACTGGTCATCGTTGACCACCCGCCCTCCTTTGATCAGCAGCCTTTCGCTCTGCAGGGGAGGAAAGAGAGGGAGAGAGGGAGAGAAGGAGCGGTTGAATTCAATCCTGACATTTTGATATATTGCACAATCAGTTATGTAATCCTCGACCTCACAGCGATATTATGACATGGTGCAGCGGTGGACGAGGGTGCAAGGAAACGCATACAGCACTTGTGTGGGTACGCGTTTGGTGTTAATATTGCTAATATTAGTACCTTCTTTTATTTGCATTGATTGTATATAGGATGAGATAATAAACAAAATCATAGTATTCAGAAGCATGAGTTTAACAAGCATGTCTGCCATGCCTCCACACCCTCTACCGACGTGGAGGGTGGCTGCATGGCAACAGCTTTAAGAGGATGTTATGGCACCATGGTAACCAGTGATCATCGGCTGGTGAAGGCAGCCTGACAGCCCTGCTGAATTATCAGCATCTTCAACCAATAAGCATGCTTATAAAGGAAGAACGTGAACGCAGTGTGCAGTGTTATTTTCTTTCTCCACCGTGGAAATGTTGCTTATACTGCGTAGTGATGAAGAGGAGGCTTTCTGTAGAATGCATGCTTTATTGTAGATTGCGCAACACGCAGGTCAACAGCTGTGAGACTGCACGTACATCGAGAACTGTCCCCTCACCTCTCAGTCTCGGGCTTGCTGATTTCACACAGGAGAAACTGTAGAAGGGCCTTCTGCTCTCTGCCGCCTCACTAAGAATTTAATCCCCCATTGGCAGCAGGGTATTTTGCATGCCAGTGGAGAGTTTCACCGGCCAACGCCGCTGACCAGGCCGGGTCTCTTACCGTCAGACGGTGGATGCTGTTCTCCTCCTGATAACTGGTCCCAGACATGGTCTCACTGTAACTCGGGTTGCGATGACTCCGGCGCCCTGCGCTCTGCGCCTCCTTTTGTCTCCCCCGATGCGCGTCGGCTGTCGTTTCCGTGTGTGTGTGTGTGTGTGTGTGTGTGTGTGTATGTGTGTGTGTGTGTGTGTGTGTGTGTGTGAGCGGCACAGCGATGAATCCACCGCCGCGCGGCTGCGTCGACGGAGAGGTGACGGTCCTGTGCGTGCATGCGTGCGTGTGCGCGTGGGGGAAGTGAGCGTCTGCACGGTTGCAGAGAAAGACGTGTATAGTTCACGCGCACACACACCCCTACACGCGCTCACACAAACTGCTCACGTGAGGTGAGCGCAGACAAAAACACAATACAGCGAGGGACGCTGTCCAGTTCAGCAGCACAGACCGAGACGAGCTTCATTGCATCGACGTGCATTTGCATCTTTTGGGGGATTTTTTATTTTTTTATGAGCTACGTAGACGTAAACTAAAATGGCCAAGCTGCATTGCAGCACACAACTTCATCATTTATGCAGACTGAGGGTTTTGTGTTAGAATAACAACTCCTGAGGGGATGTTGAATTGGGCGACATTTGACACCTTTTGCATTAAAAACAATAATGATTCAATTGCATGATTTCAGTCGTTGGAGACAACTTAATGTATAAATCATATTAATCGTGAACCTTGTTACATAATGACACAATTGATCAGAATTTCAAACAATAAGCCAGACAGTAAAGGAAAAAGCCAAGGGAAAAAAAACCTCACTCCTACCTCCCCGTTGGGGCTTTCCTTCCCCGATGAGAATCTGACCACAACACCTGGGCGAACATCGTCCGTCTCCCCGGGCGAGTCGGACGGTGACCCTTCCCGGCCCTCGCTGGACGTCTTGCCGACGGGGTCGCCGGCGTCCAACACCCTCTCGCGGCTCCCGCTTCTCGGGGTGCGGCTCCCTTTCCTCCCCACCGCGTAGTTGTCGAAGTCTATGGTCTTGCTCTCGAACGCCCCCTCCACGGAGCTGAACATCCCGGTTTTCCTCTGGTTCGGCCCGGTGGTGATCGGCCCAGCCAGGTAGACCGGCAGCTCATCCTCCCGGTTCCACGACCTTCTGCAGTCAGACATTGTGGCATCCGCGACAGACGGAGACTCGAATCCCCCAATTTCTGAAACGATGGAGACAGAAGCCTCGCTTTTTTTAACGGGGTCACAGACAGCCCCGCCCCTCGCGCGCGCGCCGATGCTGTGAACTGGGAGATGCAGCTCTCTTAGAATATATATACAAACATATATAAACAAGTGAAACGATGCAGTGCTCCAGTTTAAGGAGTGGTGGAGTGTGAACTAGTTTGCATGTGAAGCATCAGCTCTGTAAATAAAATGAG